TCTTTATATTGTCATAATCATATGTCATAATCTTATTTCCATTGTATAACTACGCTTGTTTTTTGTGTTTTTTATTTTAAAAATTGTATTAATTAGTTTTTCATCGATCGTTTTTATATAGCCGAGGATGCAAGCGTCTTCAGTGAGAAGTTAATTTTAAGTTTGTGCAATTATATTTCTATTTTTTTTTTCGTTGGACTTTCTAAATATTCGTAAAAATGACTAGAAAGTGTTCGTTATGTGGAAGTTCTAATATAAAGGTCCCCGAATTATCTTTCCATAGGCAAGTAAAGTATTCAGTCGTTCTTTTATTTATTTTAAACAACATGCATACTTTCTGGTTAGATTTCCTAAGAATATTGATATTCGTACGGAGTGGCTAAATGTATTTTTTATATAATTTAATTTTTGTGACAGTAAACATTCAATTTATTGTTCAAATATATACATTTTACAAATTAAATTTTTTAAATTATGTTCAAATTTGGCGCGTGGACCATAGATTAGGACCGACAAAGATAGATAGAGTAGAAGCACCGCGTGTACAACAAAAAAAGAAGATAAATGGAAGTCGTTGATATGTTTGCGATAGTTTCCATAGTGATTTACTTATCCACGTAAGTATATATATGATCTAGGGTTGTCGTGATTATTGCGAGACTGGTTTTGCTAACGGTTTTTTTCTTGGTTTTTGTCTTGCATTTTGTGACTAGCGTTACTAACAAAGACTAACGTTTGATCTGCAAGACCAAGACCAAAACTGACCAGTGCAAGATATCCACAAGGCCAAAACCAAGCATGCATGACCGTTGCAATCTAGCAGTTTTTTTGTCACATTTACATGATGTAAGAAATTATTATTTGTTCAGAATTATTGTTTTAATTTACTACAAATAAAATAATGCTTTCCCCACTTTTGCATACAATTTTCAAAGTTGTTCCTTTTTTTAAGTTTCATTTTCATTAAATTACTAAAAATGCTATTTCTATAAAGATTTTCTATGTAAAACGTGCTTCTAGGTCATATCAAATAAACTTTTAGTCACGTGATTAAGCTTGACCTGCACAACGTTGCTCTCTTTTACATATTTTCTTCTAATCAAAATATTTTAGGAAACAAAATACATTAATTATAAATATATAAACAGTTGTAAGAACTCTATTTTTCTATGCTACGTTTTCTTTATCTGACGTAAAATAAACAAACATTTCAAAAGCCGGAGCGCAATAGAATTTCGAACGTAAACAAAAACAAGCCCAAAATTCATGGTACCTGCACTTTTCAAAAAGGTTGCAAATAACACGCAATACAGTATCACCGTCTAAAACAGTATTAGACAGCGTCAGAGAAAGAAGTGGTACGTGCTTATTAAATTAAAATTATTAAAGTTTCTCAGGTTTAGTTAAGGTTTTGTGGTGGTTCTGAGTTCCATTGCTGTGCCGAATAAGAAGTTTGGTTCCAGTCGATATTACGGACACTAAAAACGTTAAATTTTCCTTACAGATTAGGTAGAAACATCAAATATTAGCACTTTACTACATTATATAGATGTAGATTGACCTAGTTTAAGCACAAAAAATCAAGAAAACCTCTTTGTAAGCGTAAAAATTAAGAAAATACATGTATTTACAATATTCCGAGCTAGCAACCATTGACTTTTTGATTGACAGTTGATCGACGGCCTTCGCATGCTGTTTGCGACGTTGTCAATATAATTATTTTATATAATTTTCTACTGAAGTGAGGTTATGTTAGATATTCTTTTAGGGGTTCTGTGGTTTTGAATTTTTGGTTAGCTTCTCTTTGTGGAGGGTGTTAAGCTGTGGTTTTTATATTTTAATAATTAACTGTGATTTTGCAAAAATATTATTAGATTGGTTAGGATTTGGGTTGCTTTGGTTAGCGTTTCTTTGTGGAGGGTGTTAAGCTGTGGTTTTTATATTTTAATAATTAACTGTGATTTTGCAAAAATATTAGTAGATTGGTTAGCATTTGGGTTGCTTTGGTTAGCTTTTCTTTGCGGAGGGTGTTAAGCTGTGGTTTTTAAATTTTAATAATTAACTGTGATTTTGCAAAAATATTATTAGATTGGTTAGGATTTGGGTTGCTTTGGTTAGGTTTTCTACGGTGAGGGGTGTTTAGCTGTATTTTTTTATATTTCAATACGAATCTGAGTGCTTTCAATGATTTGATTTTGAACACAGATTTTAAAATAATTCATTTGTTTTCACCGTGATGGCGCCACCGTAGGAGCCGTTCCTCCGGCGACCGGCACGTGAAAAATTGGCGTAAAATAGCGGCAACGTCGCACAGGTTAATGTCATCATATGTTTGTGCCATCTCTCAAAATTCCTCCGCAGCATCAAATAGTACCATCATTTTATTTGAATATTTTAAAATTTACTGGATAATCCGCAAATTTTTTTGGCTTAAATTACCTACTAAAACACTTGTGTCCGTAAAGTCGAACGGACCCAGAAGTTTTATTAAGGTGAGTTTATTTTATCTCACTGAGCAACTAGTCGGTTACTGTTTATTGTTTTTATTGTGATATATTATATTTCTGAATCTCACATAAATTCTAAGATATTTGATTGAATATATAGAAAAGATGATTTGCAGATGATAATATTGAAGTATTTCTTTATAGTGATTTATTTATATTTGTCTATGTGACTTTAATAGCAGATACAAATATATTTGTGCATTGATATTATCAAATTGATTTTGATTAAATTATGTTTAGCTCTATTACTTTCTGCAGTTAGCCTATATGGCGCAGTTACTCTGTGTAGCGTAGTTAATCTTCAGAAGTAGTTTGATTAGGTTAAGTTCCGTAGTCCCGTAGCGTAGTTAGCCTTGAAGAGTAGTTATCCCCGTAGCGCAGTTAGGCCTATTACCTTGTGCATTATATTTAGCCTGTGTGGCGTAGTTTGCCTGTGTGGCACTTTCTCTGTGTGAGTACAGTCTTTGTGACTAGCCTGTGTGGCATATTCTCTGTGTGAGAACAGTCTTTGTAACTAGCCTGTGTGGCATATTCTCTGTGTGTGAACAGTCTTTGTGACTAGCTTGCGTGGCATATTCTCTGTGTGAGAATATTATTATGGCACTCTAGATTAAAATTTAAAATACGATTTTTCGAGCGAAAATGTCAAAAGTTGACATATGATATGTCATTCTATTCAGAATGTCATTTTCTATCGAATAAAGTAAAAAATACCGATGGTACCATTTAAAAAGCAAAAGTAGTAATAATTTCCGGTGATACAGGAAATGACCGAAAACAATTGAATACGTCAATCTATCCTAATTTATGTCATACACTAACATACCAAATCTCGTTATTTTTTATCTGAGAAAATAAAGTTATAGGTCACTTTTAAGACGCACCCGGTATAGATCTATGTCTTTAGATAATATATTGTTATGAATATACTCCTCGAAGTTTATATGAAATATATTATTTTCAGTAAGATTTAAGTTTTATTAATTTTTTTTATCACCTTTTCATTCAAATTTTTGAAGTATTCCAATTTATTTTCTAAATTTAGTCCCGTATGATTGTTGATAAATTTTAAATTTTATTTAAGATTTAAAAATCACATTTCTTTAAAATAAAAATGATTAATATTTTTAACTTCCTTTACATATCCTAACAATCGCATATAATGCAAATACGTTGTATCTCGACATATAAACACAGAGAATTACAAAAAGAACTGTTTTAGACATAAATTTGCAGCGCGAGTAAATACAAACCAAGTATATAAAAGGACAGAAAAGAATAGAGAAAGAATAAAATCCTGTGCCATACCAGAAAAATACTGTTTATGCAATACGCTTGCCGGTGCAATAAAAATTCCGAATCTCCACTACGGACGAAAATAGACACTCCCAATTTAAAATTCCATAACTACGTATCGAAAATACGGTCAGCCCTGTTGGAAAACTGTAAGCTGCTTTGAGAGAGCTTTAAACTGAGCTCTGTTGTATTTTTCTATAGAAGAATGTACTGAATATGTAAGTATAGATCGCTAGATTTTCCTGAATGTATGAAACAAATTTTTAGAAAATAATTTCCAGTAGCTTACTTCGGGTTTTTCTTATTACCGATACTGAACCGTCCTAGAACTTTACAGCGCATGCACAGATGAAAATATTGCTGCATATTTCCTTCTCGGCAGGCGTATCACAATCCTAGAACGGTTCAGGATCGGTAATAAGAAAACCCCGAAGTACACTACGAAAAAAAACGTTTTTAAGATAATAATTGTAGGCATTACGAACTAGTGATGTAACGAATATTCGCATTCTCATTCGCATTCGCGAATATTCGTTTGATTTATGATATTCGCATTCACATTCGCATTCGCAAATATCTTTGAATATTTTGCGAATATGAACTTGAAAGAAAAATACAGAATGTGAAAACAATATTAGGTAAATTAAACAAAAAAGTATTCATTTCTTTTTTATATATATATATATATATATATATATATATATATATATATATATATATATATATATATATATATATATATATATATATATATATATATATATATATATACTTATTATATTAATTATAGAACACATTATTGTGATAAAAATTTAGATTAAAAAATAAAAACTTCTATAAGAACAAAAAACAAATCTTAAACCACTTTCAAAAAAGTAAACAAACACTTTATCCTTTATCTTAATTATTTTACGAAAAACAGTTAATAATCAAACTTTAGAAGAGGAATATTAAACTTCAGAAATAAAAGCTTCGATGCTTTTTCTCCTTCAAGTCTGTTTCGATGCGGTGTATAAATAAGGCCAGCACCACTGAACACGCGTTCGCTCGGGACACTCGTTGGTGGTGTGACTAAATAATGCTTTGCTATAGGAGAAATAAGCCCGTACTTCTGCTTGTTCACTTTCCACCAAGCTAAAGGGTCAACGTCATTTGCTACGCGTCTTTCCGCTAAGTATACTGTAAGCATTCTACGGATTAAAAGATGAACAGGATTCTGGTCATTTTGTCGTCAACGTCATCTTCTTCGCTGTCACTGGTATCGTCCATCAGTGATTCCATTGTTTCCCTAAAAGAAACACGTTTATATGTAGTGGAATTTTCAGTTTCATTCAATCTAGCACGCTTTGCATTACGCGAACTTAAAGGTGCACTTGTTTCACTGTCTCCAAGCAAATCCAAAATATGTTGTATGACACGATCTTTAATCGAGTTATTTCTAAAAAACTTGATTTTATATCTTGGATCAATGAAGGTCGCCGTGACAAACAATATTTCGTTTTCCAAAAATCCAAATTTGTGACTGAGCTCCTCTCTCAATACATTTATTGTTTCACCAATGTGTTCATCGGTAGAATCAAAATCATCAAGAATTTTTTGCAAAGTGGCAATTAAGGGGATCACTGATGATACAGAAACTTTGGCCGAACTTAATTCTTTAGTTATATCTTCAAAAGGTTTGAGTAAACCAACAAGTTTTTTTATGATCATCCACTCTTCGGAAGTCAGTTGAGGAATTTTATTGTTTGTTGTGGATGCGTAAAGACAAACTGCCTCTTGAACTTCCAAAATACGCTGCAACATATAAAAGGTGCTATTCCATCTAGTAACACACTCATGTATAATCTTGAGAGGTGTTTGATTAAATATTTTCTGTAATTTACTAAGCTCGTCTTGAGCAGAATTCGAATGATGAAAATGTGTTGCGATCTTTTTACATTTCGTTATAGTAGTTATGAAAGTTTCTTGAGCTTTCATCCCTTCTTTCAACACGTTTTGAATCTTGTGTGAAGCGCAGTCAATGTGTTCAACATTTAATAAGGAAACACCTTTTTTCATGTTTGCTCCTGCATCCCGAACTACACATTTTACTTTTTCTTTAGGTATTTCCCAGGTCGATAAAATACCTTCAAGTTTTTCCATAATATTTTCTCCTGTATGGCGGCCGTCATTAAACACTTCTGCTTTTAAAACTATCATTTTCCTTTCGAATTCTTCTGTAATTCCATGACAGGTTAAACTCAGTAACGAAACCCCAGAGCAAGAATCAGACCAGATGTCGCTTGTAAATGAAATTTTTTCAAAGGACTTCAGCAACTCGAGTATTTTCTGGCTGACTTTGCCATATAATTTATCGCAGATAAACGTAGTATAATACTGACGAGACTTTAAATTATAGGATGGACACAGGTGCTTCATAAGTCTTTCGAATCCAAGAGATTCCACGAAGCTAAATGGCAAGTCAGCCAGCGCAATCATTTCACTTATCGAATTATCAACTTCCAAAGACCTCACGGATTTGTCATCCACTGTTTCTTTTTTTCGATACAGTCTTGTATCGAAATTTGTTTCTGCTTCTCACATTTAGTTCTTTCATGGGACGATGATGCCAGTGAAAGAATTTTAAATGCATCCCGTTTTTTTTTCTTCGCGTTTCCAATTCAGAAAACTCGGTTTTATGCATCGAATTTAAATGATTTCGCATAGCCGTGGTAGTTCTTCCTTTTCGTGAATAATCATTATTACACAACTTACATTTAGCTTGTTCATCTTCGCAAATCGTAAAATAAGTCCATATTTCACTAGAAGTTGATTTACTCATGTTAAAAAATACCTAATCTAATAAGTCTAATAACAGTCTAACCTCACAATTCACAAACTCGTCTGAGCCGGTAGCAAAAACAAAACAAAATTCCAATCATTGGAAAACCCCGTTCTATCAACAACGCATTCGCATTCGCATTCGCGAATTCTTAAAATTTGGCATTCGTTACATCACTATTACGACCATAATAAATCGCATTTATTAATTCATCACGTGAAAAAAAAATGAAGTTAATTAATAATTATTTTTTATACAAGACGATAAAATGGTATTTTATCGTCGACCGAAAATAAATTTCGAAAATTCACAAGCGATGAAATCGTGAGGGAATTAACTTCGTGAGACGATAATGCAAGTTTATCGTCCATCGTGTATAAAACAATATTTTTTTCCATAGCGAGTTACGTTTTAAAAATATTCAGAAATTATTATTTCAAGGAATTTATTACGAGTAGAAAAAATATTGTTCTGGGTTGGCGTTGGTTTCTATGTAATTTGACAAATAAATAAAGCTGTCTCTTTAGTTGTCAGTTTCCAGACAATATTTTTTAATTCTCTTTCGTGTCGATTGCTGATTGAATTGGAGCCACAAATGGCTCAAAACGAAATAAGTAAATTACCAACAGACAAGAACGGTAAACTAATAGGATTGCTCATCCTCATAAGACGTACGTTAGCCTCTTCCCGCGCTTCAGCTGACAGTTGTGACGTCATTGTAGCCCTTGTCAAAGCCTTCGTGGCCTTGTCATGATAGTGTGCATTATTAGTTGCCTATGGTAAACTTATAAAAATAACAGCTGAGAAATTTTGACTTAATTATTTTGTCAATTTTAAATGTGAAAAAGGTGTCTTTAAAGTTTTTAGAGCTATAGAGTGTATAAATACGTTCATTTTGTGTTGTGGATTGTGACAAAGTGCATACTAAGTGCCCACGATTTTGTTTATTAATTATTTTAAAGCAAAATATGGAAGTACTCTAAAAAGAATGCTTGCAAAAGGTGATGCTGGGAACTGCTGTTCTTAAAAATGCATTATCCGAGTATTTAATACGATTTATACAGTTAATTTTCTATACTACATACATATAAGGTGTTTAAATAAATAAACTAAATAATGAACGTTTTGCATTCGGTAACCAATAATGCACGTGTGTGTATTATTGGTTGCCGGATAAGGACTAATAACCATGACAATGGCTACAATGACGTCACAAAGCGAGTAGTTTTCGCATGCACCTGGCGGACACTTTTGGCTGAATGAGCAGTCCTATTAGGTTAACTGTTCTTGACCAACAGATATTCAGGCTGAGGCGACAAACGCCATATCCAAACTACTTCCATTTAAATCCCGAAAACTTATGAAAAGGAATACAAAAATTTTCAAAAATGAAAGCAATTAAAAAACGTGCGAGAAGAAATACAGTGTTTAACCTATCCTCGATGTTAAAGTATCATTTAATCTACCCTTGCGGTTAAAGTACTATTTTATCTACTATTTTTGATAGATATAAGGCAATTTTAACAGTTGCTATGGAAAAAAAAAAGGTTTTATTCAACTGTGCTGCACATAATATAATTAACTTTACTACTAAGACCGCCGAAATCACTAAACCTAAATATACTTTACCTATTACTTCACACAAAAGCAAGATACAGGAACTCAAGTGGTCACAATCTGACTTCTGTGGAAGTTAACTTCGAAATAATATCTTCATTTTCGATGGAAAATGTTTAATTACACTTGCAGCGTCGCCAAGGAATTATCGTTGAATCGTTCGCTTAAAATAATTTGGTAAAGCCACTGGAGGAAGTAATACAATAGAAAAACAAACAATAAAACAAAGTGGAATTTTTTAGGTGATGTGTTACGTTCAGTTTATAAGATTTTCAAGATAATTAATAGGATGAAAACAATAATTGGTGATTGCTTCAAGTAAAATCGGTAAGAGAAATTTAAACGAGAATTCATATACGTAGTAAATACATAAAGCATATCGACTTTCCTTTAATGTATCACAAAATAGACAATAGCTAAGCATATACACAGTTACAAAAAGAACTGTTTAGATTTAAATTTGTAGCTCGGGTAAGTACAAGCAAACTATAAGTATAAAAGGATAGAATAAGAAAGGAATAAAACTCTGTTCAATTTCACACATAACATAATTAGCTTTACTACTAAGACCACCGAAATAACTAAACCTAGATATAATCTACCTATTACTTCACACAAAGGCAAGATTCAGAAACTCAAATTTCTCATTTAGCAAAATCGTAAAGAAGTGGTCTTAAAATCTAACTTCCGCAGAACTAACTTCGAAATAATATCTCTATTCTCCATGGAAAATGTTTAATTATACTATGTAGCAATGGAATTGTCGTTGAATTGTTAAGACATCGTAAAATTATTTGTAAAAGCCAGTGGAGAATATAACATATTAGAGAAAAAAAACAATAAAACAAAGGGGAATTTTTTAGGTGGTGTGCTACGTTCAGAGTATATAAGATTTTCAAGATAACAATAGGATGAAAACAATAATTGATGATTGTTTTAAGTAAAATCGGCAAAAGAAATTTAAACGAGAATGCATATACATACGTCGCAAATAACTAAGCGTATCGACTTTCCTTTAATGTATCACAAAATAGACAATAGCTAAGCATATAAGCACTTACAGTTACAAAAAGAACTGTTTAGATTTAAATTTGTAGCTCAGGTAAGTACAAGCAGACTATAAGTATAAAAGGATAGAATAAGAAAAATATAAAACTCTGTTCCATTCCAGTAAAATACTGTTTATGCAATACGCTTGCCGGTACAATAGTTCCAATCTCCACTGCGGACGAAAATAGACACTCCCAATTTAACATTCCATAACTACGTATCGAAAATACGGTCAGCGCTGCTGGAAAACTGTAAGCTGCTTAGTGAGATAGCTTTAAACTAAGCTCTGATATATATTTATATAGAAGAATGTACTGAATATGCAAGTAGAGATCGCTAGATTTTCCTGAATCTAAAAATCAAATTTTTATAAAAATAATTTACAATACCTTACTTCAGTTTTCCTATTACCGATTCTGAACCGTCTAAAACTTTACAGCGCATGCACAGATGAAAAAGTACTGCATATTTACTTCTGTACAGGCGTATCACAGTCCTAGGATGATTCAGAATCGGTAATAAAGAAAACCCGAAGTAAGCTATTAATTATTGTGAGCGTCACGAATATAATAAGTCACATTTGTTAATTCATCACTTGAAAATAAAATAATATGAAGTGAAGTGAATTAAAAAGTTTTTATTCAACTGTGTTGCACATAACATAATTAGCTTTACTACTAAGACCACCGAAATAACTAAACCTAGATATAATCTACCTATTACTTCACACAAAGGCAAGATTCAGAAACTCAAATTTCTCATTTAGCAAAATCGGCGTAAAGAAGTGGTCTTAAAATCTAGCTTCCGCAGAACTAACTTCGAAATATCTCTATTCTCCATGGAAATGTTTAATTGTAGCAATGGAATTATCGTTAAATTGTTAAGACATCGTAAATTACGAGGCATGTTTTTAAAGTAGTTCCGCGCATGCGCGCTAGTTTACTACATCTCTTGTCTATGCAGACGCCAGTACAGTCTGATTCTTCATTGTATACGTTGTTTTATTGAGTGTTTAAGATGCCTCTCCGACAATCGTGAGCCCCGCCGATTGTGAAGTACGAGCTGTCGCTGATTCTTAGTGCTAAAGGCGTAAAACCGATCGATATTCATCGTGAGATCTGTGAAGTTTACGGACAAAACATTATGAGTGATGGAATGGTAAGGAAATGGGTGAGAACATTTAAAGATGGCAGCACAAATGTGCATGATGAAGAACGGAGTGGGCGTCCTTCGGTCGTTAATGAAGATTTGGTGCAGAAAGTGGACGAAAAGGTGAAAGAAAACAGACGCTTTACAATTTCATCATTGTACTTTCCTCAATGTTCTCGTAGTGTTTTGTATCGCATTGTGACCGAGAATTACCGGAAATTGTGTTCACGTTGGGTTCCGAAAATGTTGACGGATTTGCACAAAACCCAACGTTTAGGCAGTGCATTGACTTTCCTTGAGCAGTACCACAATGAAGGTGAAGATTTTTTAGACAATGGAATGGAATGGCGACATTCATCATCACCCAAAACAGTGAAGTTTAAGCAAACAATTTCTGCCCGGAAAATCATGTGCACAGTTTTTTGGGACAGAAAAGGAGTATTGCTAGTGGAGTTTCTGCCTCGTAATGAGACAATCAAGTATGTATGCAGCATCTTATTGTGAGACATTGAACAATCTGCGCCGTGCAATCCAAAACAAAAGACGTGGCAAGTTGAGTAAGGGTATTGTTTTGCTGCATGACAATGCCCGTCCACATGTGGCAAATTGGACCAAAGATCTCATCAAATCTTTTAAATGGGAAACTCTAGATCATCCTCCATACAGCCCTGATCTGGCGCCCAGTGACTACCATTTATTCCTGCACTTGAAGAAACACCTGGGCGGTCAGCGTCTTCAAGACGATAACGAAGTCAAAAAAGTTGTGATACAGTGGTTAACCAGTCAGGCGGCAGAATTTTATGAGGAGGGTATTGAAAAACTGGTGCCACGTTATGACAAA